CATGTTTCTTTCTCTTTTTCTATTTTATATTTTTTTTTCTTAAATAAATATTTATTTTCTAAAATTATTTATTGTCAACTTCTTTAAATTATCCAGTATAATATTACCTTGCACACATCCATTTTCGGGCCCATCCTTGGTAACTAACAAATCAAACGCACTTCAGTAATGCAGCAAGAACGCACTTTAATACAAAACTTCTCTAGTTACGCTTTTAGCTCTACTAATCTGGCAATCTTGTTACGAAAATATTTTAAATCATTCTTAAAAAATTTCCCGTTCGTATAAGTTCAGTTGAATTCGCTACTCGCTTTATAGTTTTCATTTCATGTTTTATTCTGTTTTTTCTTTATGTTTTATTTTCTGTTTTTACGTGATTTTTCTACTTATTGTATTCTATTTTATTTGTTGTAATTTTTTTGTAAAATTTTTTAGTGCTTCTCACACTATTGTTTTGATATATTTTGCATTGGCGATATAGATGCAATATTAGAAAGCTGTCTTTTCTGAGAATATAATCGTGTGGGCTGATGAAAAGATTATATCTTTTATTTTCCGGATTTTTAAGAAAAATTTTGTTCTTTTTTTTTCTTCCGGTTTTTTGTTATTTTTAATTTTTATTATGATTTTTCTTTTTTTCCCCCTTTTTTCATTGTTCTGTAATTTTTCCCTGGTTTTTTCTACTTTTTGAATTTATAACTAATATATAAAGTTAAAAATATATAAACAGAAATTCTTTATTTAAGAAAATGAAGAGCTGGAAAACAGTATAATGAAAATATATAATTTCGTTATCAGCTCACACGATTATTTTCGCAAAAAGAAGTGCTTTCTAATATTGTATTAATATAGCCAAAGCAAAATATTTCAATACAATAGTGTTGGGAGCACCCTCAAAAACTGAAGAAACAAAAATAGAACACATTAAATAAAAATTTTTCAAAATAAAACATATTAAACAAAAAACTGAAAATAAAATGCCAGAAAAATACAGAATTAAACATAGAACATAATATATAAAGTGAGAACAGAATTCAAATTAAGTTACACGTTCCGGAATCTTTCATGAACTTTCTGAAGTATAAAATCTCATCGGTTAAATTTTATTTCAGCAAAATAATATTACTAAGAAACATATATTTATCTATTACACTGCAACGCGTAACTTTTGTGCAAGGCTCGGTATTTCGGAATTCTCCTTCGAAATTTTTCGCGATTCAAGGTTTTAGAAATTTATATGACGTTGCGGCTCAATTTATGAATTAGCGTAATAGAAACATAGCTATATTGAACTTTATTACGCGTAATCGCAAATTGTCAAACATACATATTTAAATGTGAAAACATTATGCTTTTAAACTATGCATAGATTTTAATTATTTTGATATTTCCTTGCAAACATTTAATTTTTCTTATTACGTTGTCACCCCACACTAACGTTAAAGATCCCACACTAACTCGCCTGCAGTCACACTTCTATTTAAACCAATTCTTAACGGGCCACGGGGTTTTCGGAACATATCAACTGAAATTCTTCAATAAACGAGCAAATTGTAAATTTTGTGGCAGAGTACAAGACATTGACCATCTCATAAAATTTTGTCCCAAATTCCAGACGATCCGTGGCAGAAAATGGGATCAATACACTCAACATCAACTTTATGCAGATATTGACTGCAGGGAGAAAATCATCGAAATTCTTAAATATACCCTGGATGATCTGCTTGCCCCTGCGAGTACACCTGACTAATTTTATCTGGTTTTATTTTGAAACTTTCGGCTTTTAGGTTTTCTGGTTTTAAATTTCTGTTTTTAGTATTTTACTTCGGCACTTACCGTTTCCATGACTTTTTTCTCCCGTTGAACTGGCATCTTCATTATACATAGGACATTCGAAATGAAATCTTGCTCTTGGTCAAATTCAGCACCCTCTGTCTTACCTGGTGTCATCTTTGAGTGTTATCCTCTCAGTGAAACTTTGGTTTACCTTAGAACATTTTTAATCTTAGAGGCACTTAGCCTTGAAAGGGAGAGACTTGAACTTTTAGTCGACTATTTTATTTATTCTACTAAGCTTATTTTAGTCTTATTTGTTTTTTAATGTGATTTTTCATATTTTACCATTTGATGTTTTACCTGACCTTACTTTTATATGTTTTTATCTGTATTTTTGACATTTTTATTGTCGGTTGATTTTATCCACTTTGATGTTTTAAGCACTTTTAATTTTTATTCTGTTTTATTTTTATTTTACTTTTTCGATTTTGGGATTTTTCCTATGTGTTTTAATCTTTTTAACTTTGTACTTTTACTTTTCTGTAATTTGGTAGTGTTTAGATCACGTGCAAACGGGTGAAACACTTATCCGCAAACTCCTTAGGGGGTAGGTCGGTTACTATTGGTCTTATTACGTTGTCATGTGCATTCCAAATAATTCCGTCATAAGGATGAGGGAGAAAGTTTTTTTTATAGTTTTTCTTTTAGATTTTATTTTCAATTGCGAAACTCTTTAAACGATAACTAGTCTAATAATCGAGTAAGCATAACATTCATTTTAGAGTAATCACAGCCCACATTTACACGGGTGGAAAAATCTCAAGAGCTATTCAAACTGCATAAATATATTTTCGTTAATGGTATTTCGGTTATGAGAATAAGAAACTGATTGATGAAATAGATTTTCTCTTCAAATACGCATAGGTTTTTTTCCGCATACATTGTGAATGACCCTATTGACCACGCCGGAAAAACCACGTGAGTTAAATTTTCGTTTGTTACATAACCCATTGTCTTTATAGACATTAACTACATGCTTCATAAATCAATTGTGGTGACATAAAAATATTCCTGACTTACATTATAAAAATAACTTGGATGTTGTATAACACGTGGAGATTCAAACGAAGAAACAAAGGTTTGTCGTATTATGATTTAAGAGAAAAGCATTTATTTATAAGCTATAAAACTATTAATACTGGGGATGGTGCGTTTGGCTCTTCGATAGTGTTCGTTGATAACGTACGTGAGAAAAAGCTAGTTAAATCTTCACTTATTGCATATCTTTTAGCTTAAAAAATGTAGCTACATGATTAATAAGTCAATTTCGGTGATGTAAAATTATTTATGGATTTTCGTTATACGAAAATTCAGGATGTCGACTCGCACGTGACTATTCCAGAAAATCAATAAGGGTTTACCATATTATGATTCTAGACAAAATCATTCTTTTTTTGTTATTAAACCATTTAAATTTTACATTAAACTATAAAATTTTATGTACGATTGTAAAATATTGACAACATTTGAACATTGAGAAACATCACTTGTAAGAATGTTGCAAATCCGCAAAACATCCCGAGTCAGGAATAATCTTATTGGGTCAGCATAGCATACCTAACATAGTATGATAGATTTTTATAATGGGCCAACATAGAATATCCAACAGAGCATGATGGATTTTTATGTTGGGCCAACATAGCAGAACCTAACATAGTGTGATGGATTTTTATACAGGGCCAACATAGGATACCCAACATAGTATGATAGATTCTTATAATGGGAGAACAAAAAAAATCCACCATGATCCAATATAATAATTTACTGGTTACCGTTATAATTTCCACCACAAACCATCATTTTGGGACCATCAAATCTGCCCAACATCCCAAATTAGGGATTGGCAACTTTTCATGTTGGGCTAACATAGCCTATCCAACAGAGTATGTGAGATTTTTAAAATGGCCCGACATAAGACGCCCAGCATAGAATAATGGATTTTTAGATTGGGCCAATATAGCATACCAAACCTAGTATGATAGATTTTTAGATTGGACCAACATAGCATTCCCTACATAATATGATGGACTTCTGTAATGGGCCAACATAATAATTGACATAATGATTTAGCATACCGACCAGAGTAAGATGGATTTTTATAATGGGTCAACAAAAAAATCCGTTATGTTCCAATATGATTAACTTGTCACCATTATAATTTTATATAAAAAAACATTATGTTTTTTGCTTGTACCATCAAGATTGTGCAACCCCTTCAAGATGTGGAAAAACACATGGAGATACAAACAAATAAACGAGGGCTTGTCACATTACAATTCAAGACAAAAGCAGGCTTACCACGTTATGATTTAAGAGAAAATCATTATGCTTTTATTAAACTATTTAAAATCTATATTAAACTATTTAAATTTTATATTAAACTATTTGAATTTCATATTAAACTATTTAAATTTTGTATTAAACTATTTAAATTTTATATTAAGCTATTTAAATTTTGTATTAAACTATTTAAATTTTATATTAAACTACAAAATTTTAAGCATGGTTGTAAGCCCTTGACAACATTTAAACATTGAAAAATAACATGTGTAAGATTGACTCTTTGATGTTTGATTTAAAAGATCGTTAAACATCATTTTCCATCATAAAATGATGGAAATTATTAGCCCAAACAATTACAACATAGCATGTTGGTTGACCATCATATCGTGAAATATCATCTTTCAACATGAAATGATGGAAGATTGTTGGCCCATCAAAATCCATTACGACATGATGGGATTTGTTGGATGTTGGTTACCATCAAATAGAGTTGGTCCGACATGAAGCCATCAAAATATCTTGATAGTCCCATTAAGAATTTTGTTTTGGGTATTTGATATTTATCCGTGAAAGTACTCAAAAGTACTATCCGTGAAAGTGCAAAATTGGAAAAAAATAAATACTAGAAATGAGAGTAGTTAGTTGCTAATAAGTTTACCGATTACCAGTGAGTTGGAAAAATCCATTCAAAGTCCATAGGAAGATAGGGGAGTGTGGTGCTATGACCGGGACGCTAATTTACAATCCAGAGGCCTTTAACGGCTAGCTTTCTTTTTTATTGGTTGTAGTTGGTCATGTTTTGGATTATTAATAAGAAAGAATTTTAGACCCATTGAGGTAGCTCTAAGCGTTGTTAGTAACCACACACAAAAAAAACAAAAAACAATACAACAAATTATTTATTTAAAAAAATGATACAGGTTTGTTTAGCTCCTTAGCACGATTATTTTCGATTTGATAAATCAAGACTTCGGTTGTGCTGAAGCTTATACCAGTTCTGGGATGTCTTAAAAAAAATTGACTTCACTTGGAGGCAGGTTTTAAATTTTCCCATAATGCAACATAGGGACATAATTTTATGAGAATATCTTGTACGACAAGAGGGAAATTTTTGAATATGAAAAAAATGCCTCTGAAAATAGCATTTCTACGAGGGCTGTAAACCTTTTCAGGATGCTCAAGTGTTACAGCTGACACCACAGCGTCAACTACAGTTTGAGTTTTGTCTGATGCGAAAGAAAAAAAGTAATATAGCATTTTCTCTAACTGCTTTATATATTTCTCTCCATAATCAGATTTTATCGATTCGTCCAGATTGTTGAGAGTTGTTTCCATGTATATATTCAGGTAATTGGTATCCGTTAATCCAGTTCTGTAATATAAGAGAGAAACAAAACAAATCAAAATCTGTAAAAAAATTGGCTTAAAAACATTATAATTTACCCTTTTGGGTTATACAAACTTCGGACTCTAAAAAGCTCTTAGAAAAACTATACATAATTTAAATTATTTTCCTGAAAGTAAAATGTGAAAAATACATAAATAAGCAAGGCATACCACAGAGATTGCACTGACGCTCATGAGCAGTAGAACAATGGCATTCGCAATTTTAATCGACATTTTCTCATTGTGAGTTCTTAAATTAACTTTTTTCAATTTATTTAAGAAATTTAAAATTGCTTGTTACATTTAAAAATTTGATCTCTAAATTACGATCCATCCTCCGTAAAAAGACAATTGACCCTTGGAAAATTCCTTTCAACGAGAAGATTTATTGGGCCATCGGTGAAATCTTTGGCGCGAAACATTCTCTAATACTACCATTGCCTCTTTGATCTTCTGATTTCGTTTTAAAAGTAGCCCTCATTTTAACTAATGAATTCATAACATGTTTTTTCTTACAATCGTCTTCTTACGGTGGACGAACAATCTGCAAATGCATGCTAAACGGGGAGTGTAGATCCTGATTGAACAGGTAATTTTCAAGAAATGAAATATGAATTTTTGGGATAGATGTATAAAGAAAAATCTAATTTTCAGTAAAATCTGGTTCATGTTTTGGCCTAGAACAGTAGGGAAAAATAAATAAAAAACAGTAGGGAAAGATAAATAAAAAATTGCTCAATCAGTAGTTAATCGGTACGGTCTTCGGAAAAGTCTGGCCCTTTGATTTTAAAAATGGAATACTTAGAAAACTCATTTTTTTTTTTTTTTTTTTTTTTTTTTTTTTTTTTTTTTTTTTTTTTTTTTTTTTTTTTTTTTTTTTTTTTTTNATCCGGTCGTTTAAGCCTCAAGTTAGAAGTTAAGTCTCTCTCTCTACTGGAGTGTTACTTTGATTGTCTTAAAACTTTACAAAAATATGAAACTTGTATTGTCAGTCGGCTTCTAGATTGTTGAGCGCTAAATGAAATTGTGACACTTTCGCTAGCGAAAAAGTAGCCGAAATGTTTATTAAAAGGTGAAGATTCCATCGTTACAAAAAAAGAAAATTAGATAATAAAAACTTTAAGAAAAACCTTTTGACTGGAGCTCTAAACTTGATCACGAGTTTCCAGTAATTCCGCTGAGACCACTTCATCAAATTGCAATTTGCATCTTCAGGGATGCTAAGACGATCTAGATCAGTGATTCTCAACCACTGTGCCGCGGCACTTTTGTGTGCCGCCAAATTCATAAAATGTGCCGCCAAATATTAGAAATGATACAGTAAAAATAATAATGTTTTTTTTTATTACGAATAAAGTTTAAATTGAAGAAAAGTGTATATATATAAAATATTGTATGTATATGCATAAACATTTTATAATTTTCCCTCGCTTTAAGCAAGCTAAATAGTAACTTTCAAACGGAAATAAAAGTTAATCATTAAAGTAAGCTTTGCAATTAATAGTTACAAAAACAAATTGACAAAGGATAACGAACAAAAAAATAAGCTAACAATTAATAATCAGCAAAAGAACTAGTTAACAATAAATCACAAAAAAATAACAGTTAATAGCTATAGAAAACAAGCTACCAATTAATAACTAGCAAAAAAAATAATTGTTACTAACTAATAAAAAATTAGTCGAAAGAAATAATTAATCCCTTAATAAACGTGCTTTTGTATTGGGTGTATAAATTAGTTCGGTCCGTTTTTAAAAAATAGCTCTGCTGTTATGAATGTTATATAGTGACAGCTGGTTTCAGTGGTTTCAGAGAGGTTAAACATCTGATAATAATATTGAGTTTATATCGCTTTGAGTTTCATACAAAATCATTGTTTTTTACTTTGTTGAATATGTCAAATTTTGTGGTAATGCAGCACCATTTGCGGGAGGTTTTATGTTTCTGCTTTAATTGGAAGAAAAGTGCAGCTGAAGCGCATCGAATGCTTGTAGAAGTTTATGTTGACAATGCTCCAACTGATAAATCATGTAAGGAATGGTTTCGACGTTTCAAGAATGGCTAATGGTGAATAAAGAATGGAAAATGGTGAATAGTTTTGTATACTATGAGCTGCTACAAACTGGTGATTCCATTACGGGTGATTGGTATAGGCTACAATTGATTCATTTGAGCTGTGCATTGCGAGAAAAAAGGGCGGAATACGAGTAAAGACATGACAAAGTTATTCTTCTGCGTAATAACGGTCAGCCCGATGTCTCAAAAGTCGTAAAAAACTATTTGGAAACGCTCAAGTGGGATATTTTACCGCACCCGATGTATTCTCTGGACATTGCTCCTTCTGATTACTGGTTGTTCCGACGGATACAGCATGATTTTGCGGGTCACCAGTTCACTTATTTCGCAGAAATCGAAAATTGGCTCCTAACTTGGATCGCCTCAAAAGACGAGACATTTTTTCGAGATGGAATTCGAAAATTGCCTGAGAGGTGGGGAAAAGTAGTAGCCAGCGATAGACAATACTTTGATTAATCTGTTCATTCATTTTGTTCTGAAATAAATGCATTTTTGACCACAAAAAAACGGACCGAACTAATTTGTACTCCCAATAGTACATATTTTTTTATTTCACATTCAAAATTTTTATCACAAACTATTCAACGCAGTGTATTATAGGTAAGTAAACAACTTTGAAACTAATTTTTTTCATTGTGTGCCGTAAAATTTCGAAATCATTTAAAGTGTGCCTCCCCCAGAAAATGGTTGAGAATCACTGATCTAGATATTTTAAAATTTTTGGAAGATTCAAAATATTTTTCTCTATAATCAGCTTTCGGTGATACATACTTTTTGTCAAAAAATGATGTAATTTACTTATTTCGTTTTTTATTTATTTTTTATCATTCATTGTTAACTTAATGTTAAACTTAAAAATTTTTCTTTAAGAATTTAAGTTTTTTTTACTTAAACGTTTTAAGAAATGAAAATTGTGCATTCAAATTTTACGAAATGTAATATCTAAAGAAATAATGGAAAATTTAAAATACGGAAATGTTACAGGTATTAGTTACTCTCAATTCAAAAAAATATTAAAAATTAATCAAAATATTAATATTTTGCTAAACTACACAAAAATAAAGTTGAATATATCTAGTTTTCATGTATTATAATTACAGTTTTGTTATCATACTTTAACTTGAAACAACAGCAGTTATAAAAACCCGAAGCGCTCTCTTGCGTTTTTTGTCTTTTCAAGGTAGAAGGAATTGTTATCAATAATAAGTAAAATTCTTAACAATAATAAAATTAGGAGTAATTAAAATTACAATATAAGAAATAAAATAATTTTATTATCGAGTTGCAAAAATAAAGAATTTTAAGGAAAAAAAAAGCATTTTTTTCATAGAACAATTTAATGAATTAGAAAATTTAAGTTTTTCTCAAATGGCAGGGATACTTTATGCTACTGCCATTCTGTAAAATCATGAAATTTATAATCGATGAATGCCACCTGACATAGTAAAAGTCATAGTAAACATAGTCATAGTTTAACCGATACTTTTTAATTATGTTTCACAAATTTTTATTTATATAATTAAATTCAATAACATTTAGATTTTATCGAATGTTATCATTTTTATTTTTTTTTCTGACCACTTTTGTGCTGAATATCGACTTCTTTTTGACAAATTAGCGAAAAATTTGTTGAACATTAAATCAGTATTTTAAACTATCTCTTTTTGAAAATTTATTGACCGGAAGGATAGATAAGAGTAAAAATGCATACCTGATTGAAATTGTCCGGCCCAGTGCATTTCAAGCAATTTTATTATCGAATTAATTAACTATAATATATTTTAAACTGGAATTTCAAACAATATTTTTTATTAGTTAGTGTTACATCTAAAATGTATCTGTTGAACCAAGATTACGGCGTTCTGTTTAATAAACCAGGATTTATTCTCTGCAAATTTGAAAACTAACTTAAAAACTAGCAAATTTTCTTAAGAATCCTGTTTATTTTAATTAAGTGTTACTATATACAAAAGTGTAAATATAATTACTATGGAACTGATTAAAAAATTAATTAATATATTCATAACATTTTTGCTGTCTTACTTATAAATCTCTGGCTCAATAGATATAACCGAAATTCCCCAAACATCCATTTCTTGTCTCAAGCACTCTGTGAAACCTACGGCACCAAATTTGCTAACTGTATACGCAGTCACGTGTGGCATTACAATTCTACCTGTGTAAAAAGATGCATAGATAAACAGATTATAGTATAGATATATATTTCCAAAATATATATGAAATAATACGACCTTCATATTCATTCGGATATTTTTAATTTCCAATTTTTATTTTTATTTTATAACATACAGAACTGGCTTACCAATAAGACTCGTGAAGTTAACTAGTCTTCCTTTTGATTGTCGCAGTAAAGGCAAAAATGCTTTGGTGACTCTTATATGACCATAAAGATTAACTTCCATATTGTCTTGAAAATCTTGCATAGGAGTTAGTTCAACGGAGAGTCCTTTAAGAATGCCTGCGTTGTTGACAACTGCCCATAACTCTGAAAAAAATTAATACTTCTCCGAAATTTAATATCTTGAGGCAAAGTCAGTTTAAATCATCACATATAATTACGATAAATTTTAATTTTATCATTTTCGCATACTGTAAAATATTTTTATAATGAACCTTTTTCATATTTTGATCACGAAATAGATTCAACAAGATATTTCTATGCCATATCCAAAGAGGTTATTTGAATCTTATTTCGTACCTTACTTGTAATTTTTCATCTTAATAAAAAATTCCGACGAACGGAGGCAAATCTAATTGTATTTTTATGCAACAAATCATTTAGAAAAGGCACAAAACCAGAGAGAAAATATTTTGAAATATTACGTAAGAGACAAAATCGTACCGAACTTTGTCCAATATATTAAACGCTGGGTTTCAAGATGTTAAAACGAGTACTTATGAAGTAATATATTTTGCTCATTTCATTATTAAAAATATGTACTAAACAAATGAAAAATGCATTAATTATTAAATGAAAATAAAAAAAATTAAATAGCACGGTGTAATACATTTAATCACAAATATGCGACCACTGAAAAGTAATAAATACGAGTTTGTACAAGTAGCTCAATTTGAATATTTCGGCACAATCGTAAATAATATTAGGGGGACCGGAAAGTAACGTTGTTTAGGCGCATTAAATATTCGTTAGTCTTAAAAACCATTTTTTTTTTCAATCCATTTCGATTCATTTTCGATCCGGCATTGAAAGATTGTTACTAACGAGGCGGAATAAATTATTGATTAAAAATAAAATCTTGATAACAAATATCAAATGCAACGAAACGACATTACTTTCCGGTCCCTTTAATAATAATGACATAAAAATTGAAATCAAAAATTGAATCAACATGGCTAACAATTGATATCATGGATTGAGAAATTAACAGTTTAAATCTATATACATAAGTGGTTAAACAGAAATATAGTTGTTCAGAAGAGGCACTGTTCGGAACAAAAAATGTTTTTTCAAAAATTTTATAAATAATTTAATTTAAAAATTAAAGAAACTTCAATTATGAATATCTTAGATCTAAATAACTGCAAATAATTGCAATTTAAAGTAAGCGGTGTTTGGCAGATTTCACCTTTAACGCATAAAAAGACACCGGTGTTTATTAATGTATTTCATAACCATAAATTACTTAAATGCTAAATATAATATTTTGCACTTGTTTTGACATAAATACTTAATAATAAAAAAAATTGGAAAAATATGTTCATAGAAATTTTCGTCAAAGGGTTAATCGGTTTAGCTTTTGGCGAAACCCTTTCTTGTCTACATGAAGAATTTTGTTTTATATAGTTGTGTTTATAATTATTCGGACCTTATTTTATCTTGATATATTTCTTAAGCTCTATTAAAAAATCTTCTTTTGGTACAAATATTGAGAATAATTATAAATTAAAGGATATTTTTTTCAACGTTAAGTGTGCAAAAACTTTTAAAAGTAAGTCATATCTTTTAAAAGTATTATTTCCTATAAAATGTCTTGAAATCGGGGGAAAAACCCCAACAGATATAATAATTTTCATTGTATTGTGCAACAGAAGAGTTGCCATACTGGTTTTATAACATTGCTGTTTTTATACCAGATGTTCCAAGGTTCTCTTTGACGAATTCTAACGCCATTTGAACACTTTCATCTTTTGTGATATCCATTCCTAAAACTTGCAAACGACTGGAACATTTATTCTTTAATTCTTCAACCCCTGGTCCAGTTGGAAATAGACAACTAGCAAACACGTGATAACCCAGAGAATCGAGGTGAATAGCTGTGGCATGACCGAATCCTCTATCACAACCTGAAATAAAAAACGAATGTAAGGAATAACGTATGGCGTATATCAAAGCACTTTAAGTTCTACTGCTTAAGTTATAAAATCATTGTAGAACGATTTTGTTTTAGATAATTCGACATTATCCACACTAAAAAACATCCAAAATTTATGCTGAAATAAACGCAGGCTCTTAATTTAAAATTATGCTTTTTTTCTGCTGTCACATACGCATTCTTTAGTCGAAAAGTTTTCATTGTTTTGTAAGTGCAATTTAGTTTCATTGATACTAAAATCAATTCTATCTATAGAAATGCGAGTTCAAATAAATAAATAAATAAATGTATAGTTTGACAATGGGAAATAAATGCTGATAATAAAGAAAAAGCTCCTACGGTGTGCATGACATTATCTGGGATGCTCATTCTTATCATCGAAACAGAATGTGACCAAAAGTTCCAAAATTGCTCAAAATTGGCAAAACAGACAATCATTCCAATACTTCATTACCTGCTGTACTACTTCCTGTATTATGTCCTCACCCACCTCTTGAGCCTTAGCTTGAGCATCGTAAATGCTATTGATTGAAAATGGCAAGCTCAGTCACCAATAATTGGTATGACTGTCAAAAATTGCGTACTCTACAATTCAGAAGTTTTTCAAATATTTTTAAATAAAATAATAAATATTTATTGAAAATAAATTTTTGATTGGTAGTCATTTTTGAATAATCAGACTTTATAAATGTGTGCAAAAATGTTTCAATTTATAGAAAAAAATTCTCTAGATAATGCGAAATACTTAAAAAAATAAAATTAACATTAAGGTGCCCAAACTTTGGATCTCGTAAATTTTTGGAATCATATTTCAAAGATTGCGGCTACTTTCTGTATGTTGAAAGTCAGAAATCCAAATTCATCGAAAAAAGGTATGTTTATTCAGAGAGAGAACGTTTTTGTGTCTGATTTGGTAATTTAAAATATAGTCTGTATTAATTAAATACCATATTTGAGCTCACCTTCTCGAACCAATAAGATTGAATCCTTGATCGTGAAGATACAATCATTAGATCAAAAGTTATTCAGGGAGTTATTCATTTTTCCGCATTGTATATAAAATATTCACTATTTATGCAATGTTCTTTTCCATTTAACTCATTTTCGGCGAAATGTGCATCAACGCGCCATTTCAATAAATATTTTTTTATAAGCACTTTGACGTACATTTTTCAATAATTTAATTTTTCTGCTATTTTTAAAGGTCTTAAAAACTTCTATAAAATATATGTATTTTAATTGGATTAAACATTTTCCATGGATAAATTTCCAAAATGCGCTAGTTTTTTTTAAATTTGAAACGTAACTTAAAATATCCTCATCTTCTGCATTAAATTCTAAGCTTATTTGAGGTCACCTCCTCAAACCATTAAAATCAGTGGTTCATAAATAGTGCTCCGTGGAAGAGTTAAAGGGTTTCCGCGAGCTAGTATTTTTTACAACCAGTGATAGGTTTAAAAATCTCAGATAATATTTAGTTCCAAAATATGAGTCATAATTTTTTTAAATCGCTTGCCTTTATGAAATTATTTCAAGTAAAATGTCAAAGGAATAGAAAAGGTATTTTTAAGAGAAAATATAATTCTTTTAATAACAATATATTGAATAAATTATGAAAAGAACAAACATTTGTAAAATATTATATTATTTCCCATTACGCTTTTGAAATCACAATAAAATAAATAGTACCTTTAATAAAGAAATATGTTTCACTAGTAGCAAATTTTAGATGTTTATAACTTTTATTTTAAGTTTTCACTTCAAATAAACAATAATTCATCTTATTTTAATCATTTTCAGCTCATGTAAATATACAAAAAACAATTTCATAACTAGCGCAATGACTGTGAATTCAACTGATGGAAATAAAACATAATACAGATAATTAATATTAAAACAATAAAAAATATACATACCTCTAATTGAATATTTAAAAATAAGCTTTTACAGATAATAACGTTCACAATTAGCTTAATAAACTTTATTAAAAAGTCGGGTTTCCGCCGAAAAAAATTTGATTATTTTACAGATCGTAGCCGAATGAGTTTTGAATCCTTGTAGTTGAAGATCGATTTAGACCAAATGTCCTTCAGAGCAATTCAATTTTTTAGACACTACGCAAAATGTACACGGAAAAAGATAATTGGGTGATTTTTAGGAAACATCACAATTCGGACCAAAAAATTTCTCCAAATTTAAAGTCTTCAAAATAATCTAAATTATTTTTGTATATTTATTTAGTTACATTTATTAATATCTTACAGACAGCAGTGTTTTTTATTGATATTTGCTCAAGAAAAAAATATAAAATAGAAATTCACCCAATTTTGAATGCCAGGAAAATGACATATTAGCTTAGAATTACATATAGACATATTAGCTTAATTACATATGACATATTAGCTTAGTCATTTTAAGCTAATAGTAAGTAATTCATCTTAAGCCTTTATGCTAGATGGAGCATGAATCATTTAAATTAATTCTTTTATCCACCGCAGAAGGAATCAAAAATGTTTTTGTTGCTGATAAATATGTACATAATAAAATTGTGTATAATAGTCAATCATTAAATAAATAAATAACTTTATTTACATTCGAACATATTACAATCATACATGAACTTGATATTAGGTAAATATTTGATTTCCCTCTTTACAATATACAGTTTAAAAAAATTCCTGGTAACACGTCAATGTCCTGGCTTTCATAAGCCAGGAAAATGACAAATTTGCCATTTTATAGCATTTAACTTTAATTTAACATTTTGGCCGGAGACGTTCACATTCCGCCAATTAAAACAGGATTTCTTAAAATAACTCAGATAAATCTATGTAGTTTAGGTTATTAAGGATTTCAAGAAGACAGGAAAATGACAACATAAAATCCTACTCCCTTTGAAAACATTTTTGAAATAGATTTTGAACCAAAAAGTTGGTTCGTTATTCATGCAACAACACATGATCATATAGGAGGGTATCTGATCAATCTATTAACGTAAGATATTGATAGCTGGAGCTATCTATTTAGGTTATAAATCACTATATGAAAGTAACCAGGAAAATGACAGATTTTCGTGTGACAAACTAAGTATTGACAGAAAAAATTATTTTAGGCGAAGTTTATGTAAATAATACCCTCTGCGAATATTTTAGAAATGCTTACAACGGTTAAGATAAAAAAAATAGACATTGAAAATTTTATGGGAAGTTTTGAAGCTAGTTATTATTGGAAACATTGTTTGGAACATGCCAGGAAAAAGACATTTTGAAGTTAAATTAAATTTCTTAACTATACAAAACAGTCAATGCTAGTACAAGGTTATTTTAAAATACTAACAGCAATGCTATATATTAAAATTTCTTAAAAAAAATTTCTTTTATATTTTATATAAAGTATTAGATCTTGGAGCAAGAGACTGTAAATTGTCATATTTCGTGAGAATCACACATCTAAGAAAAGCATGAACACTGTGTGGTGTTTTAACGGATGGAAATTGCAAAACAACGTACTTACATATTAAAATTGTTTTTCGAAGGCACTGCTGTTGCATGACGTGATGCTTTTTTTTAGAATAATAAGCTATTTTCATAACTGATAACTATTTTCATAACTCTTTGATTCTCATGACCGTTAGATTAAATTAGCCCATATTAAGCCTGCGTCCTCTATTATTATTCGGTGAGTCAATATAAAGAAAGGGAAGCTTTGAAAAAATCAAAAGTGTTTCTAGTCTAATTTTTTAATATTTAGAAACTTGCTGTAATGCTGCCTTATCCGTTCTCATAAAAATTTGCCAAGAACTTAATAAGGTAGGATTCTCATCTATGTGGAAAAATGCAACCAAATTAACAATTTTTGAAAAAGTTTAATAACTTTAAAAATATTTTTATTATTTGTCAGTTCTGAAGCCCAGATAAGTCTTTACAGCAAGATGGCATATGAAGTATGAAATTAAAGCTTTGCTTCTAGTGTGAGAGGCACTTGAACTGTGACTTTTTTTATTTCCCTTGGAGAAGGGGATTCAAAAAACCTTCTTAATGAATAAAATAATCTACTAACCTGTGATTAAGACGGCTTTTCCATCAGATTGAACTCGATCATTTAACCATTTTTTTTTCGTAAATTGAAAAGTAAAGCACCCTACCAATGCAGTCGTTGCTAAGGTAACAGCACAAGCTATGAAGTCTGTTAAAAAATGAGGAGCAATGTAAAAAAACGTACGCAAAGCTAAAAACACACCAAAGAAATGTGCCAACACAACAAGACAGTATTGAGAATTCATATTTCAATACAAAACTAATTTTTAGTAAATGTCAAAAGGAATTTTGTTTAAATTGTATGCATTGAAGCCGGTTATGGTGAGCGCTTCAACTCAGATGAAACAGTAAATAGAGAACTAAACTCGCCTACTAAAGTCAAAATCTTATCTAATATTGCGATAGAGAAGGGTCAAAGGTTTGTAGTATCATCAAGACTATCTCTTTTCAAGTGAATTTTTTGTTGTTGATGAATTGATGTTTAAAACAATTGAAAGTTATTTAAATATAAATCACTGCCTTGAACCGTGTCGTCTTTGTGAAAAGTTGCACAGAGAAAAAAAAAATATGTAGGGACATTTCTGGCAAAAAAGAAAACTATAATTCCAGTCAATAAAACTAAAATGCACGGTATTTAAAGAATTTATTTGGCAATTTTTCCTCTCACACGCAATGTTTTATCGAAAATTCTGGTTTTCAAAATTATATTTCGCATTACCACGCATTTGCTAAAAAATTTAAAACTGAAAAGTAAATTAAACCGAACAAACGGATTTTATGCCATGCTCTAAGATATCGTGATAAATATGCTAAATTTTACCGCATTTATCAAGTTTATCATATAATATNTTAATGTAATTAATTTATACGAAATTGTTGTTCAAACTCAAAATATGCTCTTTTAGTTTCAATTAGTCCTTTTAGCTACTATAAATTATAATATCATTGTGAAGAATAAGTTATAAAGATTTTAGAAATTTCTAAATTCTACATTAAATTTAAATGTTCTTGAAATAAGATATTTAAAATCCATACCTGTGAAAACTTTTTTAGGCTTTATCATTTTTATTTAATTAAGCCAAGGTACTGATTCAATTCAAAACTGAACACCATTACCTTAAATTGCTAACTTCGAATTTTTTGAAATTAAATTAAAAACTAAATGTATTATAATTATAATAAATTATGAATGACCTGCGGTGTCTCAGGATAAAGCGTGCACCTTTCAATGAGGTAACTGAGGCTCAAATCCCGGCGATGGCTGGTTAAGAAGAATTCTACTGCTGGTTCGCATTGACCATAGCTCTAACATCAAATATCCTTAGTTTTAGATGGATCATGGGTTAGAGCCCCCTTGAAGTCGAGTTAAAAGTGGGAAATTTTAAAAGTTTTCCTCTCCATGTACCGCAAATGGGTTCAGTTTTATCGAAATTCCTCTATGAAGGCTAGTTTGTCCAAATGCTTGATCTGGGAGTTCCCTTGTCTTCTGGGTGGGGTTTCAAATTACAAAGCTTCGGAGTTGAACATGGGGGGGGGGTAAACTCAAAACTTTGTCGGTTGTTCAACGACTGTAATTACATAAAATAAACCAGACATGAACTTATAATGAAATTCTGAAAGTTCCATTACTGTTCCTTCCGCTGAGTTTGCTACATTTGTATTTTTATTACAACAAAAATTTCGAAAATATTTTCATTCCTTAAGTAAGGGATTTCGAAAAGCAATCCAATTTATTTTCTACAGCGCCATCTGTCAGAATATATTTGAATTTTTAATAGAAACTCTGGAAAAAAATATTTATATCCTGTCACATGAATTTGTTGCAAGAGTTATTTTTTAAATCCTAACTGTTTTCCAGTCGTAACTTTTTAAAACCCGTGAGGCAAATTTAGGACACCCAGTTTCTGTTGAACACTGCGTATTTCATAATTTTCGATTTCAATAAACATTTCATCAACATGGAACAACATTTTAGGTCGTTAACATTACGTCCCATCATTTTAAAAATAACTTTTTTAACCCCACATTAGAAATCGAAGCTTTATGAACTGCTAAAATTAAAAGAATTTATTTAAATATAAAATCTATACATAATAATAAACGTGGCTGTGTATGTGTCTGTTTGTCTGTCTGTCTGTAATCACAATATATCACCCTAGAAGCCTCGCCCAGGCACGAAACTCGGCACATAATTGTGTTTTGACATAATGAAGAAGCATTTTTTTTCTTTTTCAAAAATTTGGATTAGTTTTTTAGTTATCAGTCATTTTGTAAGAAAATCTATGCTTTTTCGTCTTCAAAGAGCCATATTCAAAGAACTATTACAAAATGCATATACTTTTCTCCACTCTTATAAATGTATACTAATGCGAACCTTACAATTGAAATATTAATTTTCGACAACTTAAACCAATGATATACGAAAGGAATTAATAATTTAATTGTAAGGTTCGCATTAGTTTACATTTATCAAAGTGGAGAAAAGTTTAACTTTTGTATCAAAAATGTGGCAACATATTCGATACGTGAAAAGAACGCTTCGCTTTGATATATTTGTCGCTGTTCATAATTGGGTATACTATAGCGTACGTCACAGATCGTGTTATTCCTACTAAATTTAACTAGTAAACAGCATTTTCTGCGAACCTGATTTCTAGCAACAAGTAAAAGCATCAGACCAAGTGTCTTGTTATAAGTCGCTACTCGGC